CGCCACCACACAAGTCTCTAAGACATTCCAAACTTTCCCTCGTCTTTCTGTCTTCTTCTAAGTCCTCCAAATTCCTCCAACCTTTGCCCATTACCCAGTTCCAAAGCTGCATCCACATTTTCAGGTATCTGTTTAGCAACACCCCACTCCTTAGTACTAATTTTCTGTATTAGTCCACTTGGTGTTGCTATAACAGAATTACCTGAGACTGGGCAATTTATAAAGGAAAGAGGTTTATCTGGCTTAAGATTCTGGGACAGCTGCATCTGGCACGGGCCTCAGGCTGCTTCTACTCATGGCGGAAAGTGGCAGGCAGCCGGCGGGTACAAGCAGATCACATGGTGAGAGGAAGCAAGAGAGAGAGAGAAGGTGCCAGGATTTTTTTTAAGCAACGAGCCCTTGTGGGAACTAATTGAGCGAGAACTCACTCATTAATCCTCCCACCCCAGGGAGAGCATTAATCCATTCATGAGGGATCTGCCCCCATGACTCAATCAGTTTCCAACACTGCCACATTGGAGATCAAATTTCCACATGAGTTTTGTAGGGGACAACACATCCAAACTCCATCACTAGGCCTACCTCAAAAGACCAGGAAGTCCCCCTGGTCTGGGTGGGTCCTGGCCCAGACCCAGTCAAAATCTGTTCCAAGGAGAAGGCTTCCTCCAAGGAGAAAACAAGGGCTTCACAAGGCCAGGGCCCTGCAGAAGCACATCCTGTCACCTGGGCTGCTGATCCTGGGCAGGATGGGGCCCAGGGGGTTGGAATCAGGCCTCGGGCAAATGGGAAGTGTAGGGGGAAGGCCTGGCCTTCAGACCTGGTTCCAAATCCCAGCACCCCACAAGTACTAGTTCTGCCATCCTGGGTCCCTCTGTGCCTCTATTTCCTCATCTGTTAAATGGGATGATAANACCGAAGACTGTTTCCAACCTGACTGAGGTAGATGGTCTTGGGTAGATTGGGAGGAGTAAGCTCTGTAGGACCTCATGCCCTAAAAAATCAGAGAGTGCCCTAAAGGAAGCCAGGCAACGGGACCAAAGGGAATCAGACCTGATGGCCCCTCCCATGTCTCTCGTGACCCTTCTCCCTGCTGTGTCTGTTGGGAGAGCCCTGTGTTGCAGAAATGGGATCATGGTATGGATGGGGTGGGGGGCACAAGAGAGTTCTGGCCAAGTGGCCTCTTACCGGACCTCAGTTCCCCTTCTGTGGAATGGGATAACAATCCTGCCCTCCCCAGGACCTAGGAGGGACCGCTCAGGAGAGGCACTGTCTAGCAGGCAGGAGGAGAGGGGTTGGGATGTATTTTCACATGGATGGTCATCTGGATGAATGCTCACCCAGGCTGTGTGGCCATATGCCCTGTGGGTCACTTCTGTGCTCCCAGGGAACACTCACCCTGGGCGTCTGATTGGCAGAGCAGCTCCGAGTCTGTCCAGAGCTTCCTGCGGTCAATGATCACCACAGTGGGCATTCCTGAGGTCATGTCACGTAAGTGCGGGCTGGAGGAGAGGTTGGGGACATCGAGGCTGATGGGAGGCTCTCACTTCAACTTGTAGGCCCTCCCCAGGCAGAGCTCCAAGCGTCTCTGACCTTCCAGGGTCCCTTCCTTCCAGGCACCTCTCCCTACTGGTGGCAATGCACACCAATGACTCAGCCAGTTGCACACATCCCCAATTCCTGGTGCACCTAGAGAATATCCTCTCAGCCACCCCATGCGATGGCTCAACCCACTTTTAAGATACAGGTCTCCTAATGGCAACCCGATGGCAGCAGAAAGAGCCCTGAGCTGGAGGCCAAAGCTGAGTCCTAGCCCAGCCCTGAGCCTCAGTTTCTCTTTCTATAAAATGAAAGTATTGACATTGTTGGATATTTGTCCATGTGAGCTGACTCTAATGTGAAATCTCAGACACTGTAAACGAGGGTGTGCTGGGGTATTTTGAACAGGGCCCTGCTGAGAGCTTTCTGCTGCCTTCCCCGCAGGTGGAAGTGGGAGTGGGAATTACCCTGGCTGGGTTTCTTGGCCTGTCTTAGCCTCAATTTTCCCCATCTATATCACGGAGCAAAAACTACAGGGAGGGACTAAACTGTCTTCCTAGAAAGACCCCTCTGTGTGGCTGCAAAGAAAGCTTTGCGAAGCTCTGTTTGGTGAAGAGTGACCACCAGGGCATGCCTGAGGAGTGACAGCTGCTCCCCAACCTTCCTTCCTAGCAGGGTAGATCCAGCTAAGTGTGGGCCATGTGGCCAAAAGGGGGCTCAAGTTCGGGGCAGAGTGGAATTTCTTGGGGTAGCAGAGTGTCACTCTTGCCACCCCCCATCCCCAGGAGCACCTGACCTCTCTTCTAAATCAGAGAGAAATAATGTTTATGGAATAAATGCTGGTCCAAAGGAGTCCCAATGTCTCACACTTCCCAGGGTGCCATGAGCCTTGGGTGGGCCCTGCTCCCTGAGAAGGGCTGACGAGGGCCCCCTTCCCTACCTCAGGGCTCGAGGTGGTGTTTACAGCCTTAATGAACAGCAAAGGCCTGGACCTCTTTGAAATCATCAACCCTGAGATTATCACTCGGGATGTGAGTACAAAGCCCCCCACCAGCCCTTGTCTTCCGGGGAGGAGGCCCAGACAACATTTTTGGGGTGACTGGGGGCTGCTGGGGAGACAGGCAGAGGGGCCTTGACCACCTCAATCCTGGTGATCAGGGAGTCAGCCCAGCCTGCCCATCTCTCCTCCTTCCAGGGTTTCCTGCTGCTGCAGATGGACTTTGGCTTCCCTGAACACCTGCTGGTGGATTTCCTCCAGAGCTTAAACTAGAAGGCTCCAAAGAGGTCGGGATGGAGCTTGAACCTGACTCACAGCAGGAACCCCAGTGTCTTCGTCCATTGTGGTGGAGGTCAGGGTGGGTTCCCTGAACACCTGCTGGTGGATTTCCTCCAGAGCTTAAACTAGAAGGCTCCAAAGAGGTCAGGATGGAGCTTGAACCTGACTCACAGCAGGAACCCCAGTGTCTTCGTCCATTGTGGTGGAGGTCAGGGTGGGAGTAAGGAGATGGAAATGGCTCCCAACTCCACACTATCCTAAAGGCCCATTGGCATTAAAAACCCGTGTCCAAGAGCTGGGAGAGTACTACTTCTGTGGCTGGGGAGAGGGGGTACGGGGTGGGCGAGGGAAAAGAAGGGACATGGCTCGCTGGTCCTGCCCCTTTGCTGGACAAATCTGACAAGCCCAGCCCCAGAAGTGCACCCTCCTTTCAGCCCTTCCAAGGCAGCTGCTCCCAAACCCTCCAAGACCCCCGGTGCCTGTAGGAAGAAATCCAAACTTCTGACCTTGGGATTCAAGGTTCTCCCTGCTTAGGCCCCTGGATACCTTCCAAACTCATTCCTATAACCCACCATTCCCAGCCAGAACCTTCTGTCCCTGTCACACTGGTGCTGACCTCTCGGCTGGACAGTCCTGACAAGCCCCTTCCCTGGCAGAGCCCCTCCTCAAAGCCCTCCAGAGCCCCTCCCACTCTTCCAAGGCTGGATCAAGGCTCAGCTTCTCTGGGAACCTGTGCCAATCACCCACACCCTCCAGGGCCTCCCTTACAAGTTCACACAGGTGCCACCCACGTGCAGCAGGCTGGGTCCATGCCATGGGGGTGGCCAAGGGGCCTGGTCTTTAAAAGCCTGGACAGATGGCCGGGAAGCAAGGACTGGTGAAGGAGCTTGGCAGTGGGATGCCCTTCAGGTTTGGGAAGATGTGAGGAAAGAGCATCACCTTCTGAGCCAGGTTATTTCCAGCCCCTCCCCTGCCCCTCCAAGTCATTTCTTATGCCTGTTTCTCTTCCTTCCTCAGGGCCCAAAGCAAGGGTCTGACTCACTGAGCTGACCAGGGGCTCTCATGGGGGCAGGCAGGCAGCTCTCAAAGGGCTCCTGGCAGAAAGAACCCACCAGCCTCAGAGTGCAACGTAGGCATTCCAGGCTTTGAGATAGTAGTCTTCGGGATGGTGACACCAGTTAGAAGCCACACTCCACCTAAGAGTGCTTTCTCAAGGGGGCTGGGAAGGCCCAAGGCCCTCCTTTGATGCCACAAGGACAATATCAGGATAACTTGGCAGCCCCAGACAGGTCCTTCCTTGAATGGAAAACTTCACCATCACAAGGGGCAGGCAGAGGAGTCACTTGGAGTCTTGTCCCAAGTGTACATCCCAGCCCAGCTGGGACTCCAGAAGGCCCTGGGGCTTGTTTCCGCTCCAGAAAGGAAGGTGGGTGCATCCACCCAACTTCCGTCATTGTTCTTGTAGAGTATCACCCCAGGTCTGAGCTGAGAGGGCACTTAGGTGTCATTGTTCTGTCCAAGGAGTGCATTTAGCAGAAGGAGATATGGAGTCACAGAGGTCAGGAGGCTTACCAGAACAGGACTGACCTCCTGGCCCCTCTACCAAGTCCTAGCCCTTCCATTGAAGCCCAGAATCTCTGACCTAGGTGTATTAGTCCGGGTTCTCCAGAGAGACAGAATCAATAGGATATGTTATAATTCTATGAGAGGGATTTGTTCGGGGAATTAGCTCATGTGGCTATGAAGAAAAGTCCCCCGATAGGCCGTCTATAAACTGGATGTCGGTAGCGTGGCTCACTCCAAGTCCAAAGGCTTCAAAACCAGGGAAGCTGATGGTGTCCTTGGTGTAAGTTCTGGACCCCAAAAGCTGAAGAGTCTCGAGCTCTGATGTCCACGGACAGGAGAGAAGAGTGTATCCCAGCTCCAGCGGATGGAGAGAGAGAGCTCCACCTCTTTCCTCTGTCTTTTGTTCTCTCCGGACCCCCAGTGGATTGGATGGTTCCCACCCACACTGAGGGAGGGTCTTTCCCACCCAGGCCACTCAGACTCGCATACTAATCTCTGCTGGAAACACCCTCATGGACACACCTGAAAAGATGGCTTTACCAGGTTTCTCAGCATTCTTTCATCTAACCAAGTTGACACCTAGAATTAACCTTCACAGA